CCCCAAAAAAAAAAAAAAAAAAAAAAAAAAAAAAAAAGCAGCTACAGCCCTCCCCCAACTCTGCTTACAGTCACTACCTTAGGGTTAAAGCGCTTCTTTCACGAGTCCTCATATGATACTCGCTTTATCGTGAAACTACAAACATTCCTACTTTTGATAGGTCACTGCTGTTTAATTTCCATCTCTCTCCTCCATCTCCGGTTATTCATCGACCCTACAGCACTTCCGTGCCCCCGTCCCTACGCAGACATTCACTAACGCTGACGCAATCACGCAATTGTGCAGTCGATGCAAAAAAGGGCTTTGTAGGTTAGTCAGAGGAAAAGTTGCACTGTTTTGTGCGTTTCTGCAGCCTACTTACACAGAGTAGGCTACCAGTCAAAAGTATTATTTTGTAGATTACAGTTTAAACTGGCAACATCAAAACTATAAAATAACCTACATGGAATTACATGTAGGATTATTAAGTAAAAACAAAAAAGTGCAAAGAAAGCAAAATATCTCATATTTCAGGTTCCACAAAGCATCCACTGTTTGCTTTGATGACAGTGTTGCAGTGCACACTATTGAAACTTGCTTAACCAGGAATGAGGGAGTGGTTTTCAGTTAACTGATATTCCAGGTCAAAAGTTAACTGGCAGACTTTTTTGCCTTCTTAATGCCTTTGAGACCATGTTGTGTTGTGTTGAGGTACAGGTACCAGCTCTATTTAACTACCGTATGGATTTGCCATATTTTAGCAAAACTAAGCAAAACATTCAAGTAAAGAGAAACTACAGTCCATCATTACTTAGGAAGGGCAGTCAGTCAAAATTCACGAGCTTTGAAAGTTTCTTCAAGTGCAGTCGCAAAAACTATCACACACGATAATGAAACTGACTCTGATTGGGATTGCCTGCTGAGGATAATAAGTTCACTAGTGTGAGCCTCAGATATCACCTACTCTTAACAGCACTTGAGATTATAACCCACATCAGTACTTCCCAGATATCACATAGCAGACACATCTCAACATCAACTGATTGAATCAGGCTTTCATGGTCAAAGTGCTGCAAAGAACTCGGTAAAGAAGGAGTACGAGAACTGCTTGGATCCAGAAACACAAGGAATGGACGTTAGACCAATGGAAATCTGTATTTTGTTCTGATGAGTCCAAATTTAAGATTTGGGGGTTCAGACTGCTGTGTCTTCCTCAGATGCAGAGAAAATGAATGGATGGTATCCGCATGGGTGGTTCCCACCGTCAAACCTGAGGAGGAGGTGGGATGGTGTGGGGCTGCTTTGTTTGTGATACTGTTGGCCATTTATTCAGAATTCAAGGCACATTTAATCAGCATGGCTACCACAACATTCTCCAACGACATGCCATCCCATCTGGTCTGTGCCTAGTGGGACCGTCATTTGTTTTGAACTGTACAATGACACAAAACACATCTACCAGCTCAGTAAGGACTGTATGATCAAAAAGAATGTGGAGTGCTGCATCAAATGAACTGGCCAGTTCCTTTGTTGCATTCATTGCACATCTCTAATCAGTATGTTCAGTGCTATGTTGACTGGAAGGGTAGGGCAAAACTGAAACTGGGTAATTTGGGAGAAACGGCTGCACAAATGGAGAGAAAGGAGATAACATTTAAAAAAGGGTGGGGGTTGGAAGATCAGAAGTCTTAGGCTAACATAATTTCATTTGTTGTGAAACTCAGGGAAGAACCAACACATTATATTTGCATGTGCCCAACAACTAAGAGGAACATCGTCATAATGATTCTTAAAACACATAAGCATGCATTCTATATGCATACAGGTATGGACTCATGTGAATATGTATTAATGTGCTGTTTGTTTCCAATTGGAAGTAACTGTGGCACATGTTGATTCCATGTGCTACCAGTGCAAAACATCTAACAAACAAATCTAATCTAATTAAAAATATCTGTCACAAAGAAGATGATCTGACCTGATGTCAGTCGACATGGTTTAGTATGAGCTGGACCACAGAGTGAAGGCAGAACAGCCAACAAGGGCTCAGCATATGTGATAACTTCTTCAAGACTGCTGGAAAAGCAGTCCAGGTGACTACTGATCTGCAAGAGAATGCTAAAAGTGTGCAAGGCTGTTATCAAAGCAAAAGATGGCTTCTTTGAAGAATGAAGAAGTTATAACCCAGTTTGCTTTCAGTGTTTTGCTTTTTCACTGCTCGCATAGTTCCATATGTTATTTCATAGTTTTGATGTCTTCAGTAGGCCTATTAAACTACCAAGTAGAAAAAAATGAATAAGAAAGTGTAACAAAACATTTCACTGGTACAGTACATATAGGTATAATGTTTATTCTCAAACTCTTTTGTGTCTTACAGGTTTGTTATGTTATATAATAATGCAATGCACAGACATTATCCATTCAAAACTTACTGCCATGTTGACATAAAGAATTTCTGGTAAAAATACCCTGAGTTGGCAGCAAAAACATAAGAAAGACAGCTTTGTAGTTCAACATGACTTTATCAAAATCAGCTTTACTGGTCAGGTTTGTTGAACACATGAGGAGTTTGATTGTATATCAGTTGATTAACAGTTCATTCTGAGAGAATAGCCTACTTTGATTGTCAGTCCGATTGACTTGTTTCCTGATAGTGCAGCCCCATCATGACTTGTTTTACTGGTACTGACTCTTCTTTGATCTTCATGTAAAGGGGTTTATAGACTCCAAAAAAGTGATACCTAGTATCAACCATCGGCTGATTGCTCAGTTCTGAAATCCCTATACTGTTCAATCCCAATCAAAATAAAGGGCAAAAGGTGACAGCTATTGTTTAATTTCAAAATAAATGTATAGAGCTAAAACAACAAAAGAATGTCACTGTCGTAAATACTTTTATTCTATACCGTATACAGGCACTCCTAACACTTAAAGCCTACACACATCTTTGTTGCACCTCTCTCGAAGCCGCTCCTTGTGTCGGGAATCAATCTCTAGAGGGCAACAACTGGATAAGTGTTGGCACGTCCGCGTGCAAGAAGAAGACAGGTATTGACGTCATCGCGTTTGAGCATGCCTACTACTCTCCAACATAAACAAAGACAGGATAAAGCGCTGCAATAAACTCTCCTGGCTTGTTATTTTATATGTTAACAGTATTTCAGAATTGTGGAGCGACTTATTTGTGGAGCAATGGAAAACGCATTACTGATGCGAGTGAGCGTGTTTGCCGACCAAGGAGGCAGGAAATACATGGAAGATGTGACCGAGGTAATAGTTGAGCCAGAACCGGGAGAAGATGATCCAACATCGGATGAGCCAGTGGAGAGCATTGGGGGAGACTGTACTGTCACATCTGTAGCTGTGGACACGCATCCAGACCGGACTGATGAAATCGTGGGGTCTCGGCAGGTTTCAGATGAAACCTTTGAACATATACAAAGGGACAACCAAAGTACATCAGTGGAAACATCTTTACATGGAGGTCAGCCGAGCATGGCGAGTCGTCCCCGCCGTTCTGTGGCGTTTTTCGCCGTGTTTGATGGCCACGGAGGTCCCGAGGCTGCGCAGTTTGCACGAGACTATTTGTGGGAGTTCATGAAGAAACAGCGTGGATTTTGGTCAGACTGTGACCAGGAGGTCTGCTCCGCTATACGCAAAGGTTTTGTAGCATGCCACCACGCTATGTGGAAAAAGCTACGTAAGTTGACCGGTACTGGGTCAGTTGTCATTGGGGCTGTTTGACTCTATATGTGCGTCTTCCTCTGTCCCAGTGGAGTGAACATCACGCCAAATCTCTGCCACACTTGAAACCGGAATATATCAGCAGCCGAACAACCTCAAAGTTTGTACTTGGAGACCGTGGTGCATTGATAGCTCACACGAAAGCCGAAATTACCAGAAGATTCTATGGATTCCGCAGTCTCTTTTGTCTATGGAGCTATGCTACACACTACCTAAAGGGCCAACCTAAATGCATTGACGCTATTTTTAAAATAATTTCTTTTAAAATGTAAATACAATATTATTTACAGGGCAAATCGTTTGGGCGTTTAAAGGCAAGAGAAATATTAAAGTTAGCCGTAGCCACCGGGCTCAATCCAAACTACGACTGTCACCGGCGACATAGACAACCGGTTATCAATTCAGAAGTATGTCCTAAAGTTATTGTCAGTAATGATAACGTTAGTCATCTAATAGTTTGCTTAGTTAGAGTCACTGCATGTGTGTTACTATATATTGCGTAGTCGCCCATTACAAAACCTACTGAGCTGTGTAGTAGCCAGTGTGTGCTGGATGTGCCTGGGCATGTCAGCTGTTTCACAGCCAGTCACACGGTTCCTGTAAAACGCATGTCTGACTTTGATAACACTGGAAAGACTTGCCCGGTGTGGACCTGATACAGTGAACTCACTTTATGTTGTCCTCAGGCTCAGTACATCAAAGGCAACAGCAATAGTTAAACACAGTGTTTATTTCCTGCCCAACATCTTGCTGCGCGGGGAAACTGTTGTTCTGTGTACTTGAAGGTACATTGTTATGGCTCACTAAAGATAATCACTTTCTGTTTTTCATTTTCTCAGCTGAATGGCCAAAGACACTTACCGGCCTCCCTAGCACATCAGGCACCACAGCCAGTGTAGTGGTCATTCGAGGAAATCGTATGTATGTGGCCCATGTTGGTGATTCTGCTGTAGTTCTAGGGGTCCAGGATGACCCCTCAGTCCCATTCATAAGAGCAATGGAAGTCACACAAGACCACAAACCTGAACTACCCAGAGAGAGGGAGCGTATTGAAGGTCTGGGAGGCAGGTAAGCCCTAAAGCATTATGTAGTACCCTGCCTCTGCATTTTATTTAAATTTATTTCAACAGCATTATCTGATGTAGGCTACTTCCTGCAGTGGGATGAGTATTTTTGCAGCCTGACCCGCACATCATTACCCAGAATACATACCACAAATCCCCATAACAATGAAAACTTTTCACTTGAAGGTTCCTTTCAAAACTCACCATGAATTAGCTGTCACAGGGGCTCACACTGAATCAAACTGTTGATGATGGCCTGGATATTTCTAGGACCAAGACAAACTTTGGCTTAGTAACAGCTTTTTCATTCTCACACAGTAACACCCGCACCCCCTATCTAGGACAAAGAAGTAAATGTAACCAAGAAGCTTTTCTTTTGTGCAGTAGCGGGACAAAATGTTGTCTGTCCTGGGATAATGTTCTTTGTACCATCCATGACATGTCTGCTGATAAGATGATAATGTATTGATAAGCCCCTAGGTGACAACATCTTACTTCAAGACAAAGTTCTCAATAATGCATGTTCAAGCAGATGAGCTGAATAGTTCAGATATTTTTTCCTGTACTAAGTCCATAAACTGTCCCTTGCAACTACATTGGAATATGTGGCCTATCAACTGATGACAACAAGTCACCTACCACACAAGAGACACTGACTGACTTGTCAGTGAAAATGTAGTGTAGGTTTGCAGGCAATGGAGTTAGTAAAGACTGAATTGTACAAGATGCTGCACCAACATGTCTGCAGAATTTGTTAGCACTCTGCCAGATGTTTACATTATTACTGGGATCATATTTTAATTGCACTGCCTAGCTGTGCTTAGTTGTAGTATTATAGGAAAATTTGATATAGTGGAGACCTGAGACCTTTTTCAGGCTTGGAGAGGTGCTCCTTTCAGTTCTATCAGTTGTATGATGTCTTTTTCTACATATCTCTTCAGGTTCCTGCATTAATGTTTTTCACAGATTTTATACAGTGGCCCTGAGAACTCAATGCATTGCAACTTGAGAAAACACATGCAAAAAAAAAAAAACACTAGCAAATTAGGTAAGCACTTTCACCAGGCTCTCAGGGCCACCATACGTTTGTATATTAGTGAAATTACATTACACAGCATCAAAACATCTTGAGATGATTTACACAAACCAGGATTAACCCACCTTAATTTAGTTCAGTTTTTAAACTGTAAATCTCACTGTAAAATATCTCCTTTTCAAAAGGGACAGGGAAATGTGCCTCTAAAAAAAACAGATGAATCAGTACTACTTAATAACTAGTTCAACACAAATGGGACATTCTAAACTTTCTGAATGTAGGATTTAATGCTGGGATGATGTATTGGAGTGTATTAACTTTAGCTCGTTGTACACAATAAACTGTGTAATTGTTGTTATTACTGCAGCCCATTCTAAAACCAGCTTTCTGAAATTAGTAAATACTTTGCTTGAGGTAAATATCTGCTTCACTGTTCTCTTTCTTTCTTTAATTGCTAACAGTGTGATTAAGAAATCTGGGGTGAACCGAGTCGTCTGGAAGAGGCCGAGGCTGAGTCACAATGGCCCTGTCCGTAGGAGCACAGTCATTGACCAGATACCATTCTTGGCAGTAGCCCGAGCTCTAGGTAGGAGGCAGTCATCAGATTAATTTCAGTAAATAGCCTATTAACTTAGCATAGATACTGAACTAGAATACTGACTAGAATAATTCTGTTATTATTGCTTATCCATGAAATGAAACTCAGTTTAGTAGGGGTGTAAATATAAACTGATGTGAATTGGAAAATCAATACAAGAGTCAGTTTTACAGCTGCATTGGTTAAAAACCACAGATTCAAACCAAATGTGTTTGAAAAAATGGTCTAAAATTGACATGGACCTCAAACTGATTTGTGGCATGTTTTCTCTTACTTCAAGCTGTGCTCTGCTCTAGATTGTGCCTCTTGTGTGTGTGCGTATATGCATATATGTGACGTACCATCCCCTGCCAGGGTTCAATCACATTACATTTCAGAACTCTGCTCCAATTTAAGGAATTCTCTGAACCACTGCTGTAATTTGTCTCTTTCTCCTTCTCCTCTCTTGAGTTGCATCAGTGTCCTTAGTCTTTCTTTTGTTGGCTCCCCTTTCTCTTGTCATCATGCTCTGGTATTCCCCTGTCTTCTGTCTCCTCCACTTTCCACTTGATAATTTTAAAAAGAACTGCTCTTTTTGAGGGCTCAGTTCTGAAAAGAAATTTTCAGTGCTGCTGTCCAGGAAGTAACTTCAAGTTGATGTTTTGTAAAATTGGCAGGTAAAAAGGCAACATTCATTTTACAAATTCATTTCATTTAACTGTTGTTAAGTTTGAGCCACAAATATATTCTGAACCATTTAGCCTGAAACATCTTTGGACTGCTGGTTCATCTTGGTAACTTTATCGTTCCTCTTTCTGAGGACCCTGAGGAGTAACATTGACATCACTGGCACTGCCGTTTGCGCCAGTCCTTTCAGATTCTGGTGTTTTTTCGGAGAAGGCTCCACTTTGGTTGAAGTAGTTAACCAGCTGTGCATGTCTGCATGCTTTCATGTTCACATCATTAAAACCTGACCATATATGCCAGCGAGAGATGCTGCAATAGCAGAGAGGAGGAGAAGGAGAGTGTTGTTATAGCCATCCGACATGCAGCTTGTTAAGTAACGTAGTTCAAATGAACAGAGACCAGCCCATCTGGTGTTCTTTCAAATTTTGCTACCTTGTCAAGATATGCTACCTTAGTAGCACCCTACCCTATCCCTCACCCTAACCACATCATTTTACTAACCGTAACCAACTTAAAGGGTACCCAACCCTAAACCGAACCATCGTGACATAAAAGTTAATTAACCCCAAACCAACTAAGACTTACCTACTGTGGCTTTGGGACAATGCGCAATTTCAGAAGTCTGAGTGACAAGTGTCAGCCCGTGCCTTGCCTTTTATCCTCTCCTCCAAACCCTGTAGTTGTCAGATGAAACGGAGACTGCCATTGAGACAGATTTACCCCCCTAACTGCTTTGTGAATGCTAGCGCATCTCAATAGGTAGCAATATTTGACACAACACCGGCACAAACAGCACTGTGCTGGGTTTTGGAGCACACCCACTGTTTAACATCTCGTACTGTAAATGCGTGCGAGAATTCCCCATGTAAGAGCTACATCTTCAAAAATCACTGAAATTATGCGCAATACCCATAATTCTGCACTGAAATTCAAGCCCTGCACGGACCTCGCTAGTAGCAGTGTTAGGAAGGTGACACACTGTTAAACCAATGGAAACTGTAAAGTTTGGTGTAAGACCTGTCAGTTTGAGGCAAGTGACGTGAATTGGATTTGGACAAATGACAGTGATTGTGAAGCTGACACAATAACAAGTCAGCAGGATTTAAGTGAAAAATGCAGCTCTGTATGATAAGGTGAAACAGCAGCTGGAGGTTCACTGTTCACCAGGGCCCATTGTTTACTAGTGTTAAAAGAGTAGACATCAGATTTTATGCATTTGTGCTGTGGTGGATAGCCAGTAATTTACTGGGTGATCAATAGCATGGCAGTACAAACAGAAAGCACACGTTACACCAGGAGTGGGCAAACTACGGCCCGTGGGCCACATCCGGCCCGTTGGTCCTTTTAATCCGGCCCGCCAAAGATTGGTACAGGATTGCCCAGATCATATCACAATTATGACTGCATTCATTTGACCTTGTCCTGTAATGCCTGGCATTCCACCAGGTGGCGCATTAGTCGCGGTGGTGATACATTGACTTGATTTTGCTGAGCCAGGGCTATCCTCAGTTATTACTCTGCTACTGCTCTGAACCCATCTAAAACAATGAGTGGGCCAAACTAAAGAAAAGTCAACAGTGAGTGCCGAGTGGTCAATAAGGAATGGACAACTAAATATTTTTTTTACTGAAGTCCAGTCAAAGGCTGTATGTCTTATTTGCCAAGAAACTGTTGCAGTTTTAAAGGAATACAACATCAGCCATCACTTTTCTACCAAGCATGCTAATTATGCTAACAAGCAAGAACGGACGGCTACTGCTCAGAGGCTGGCAGCTAGTTTGCAGGCTCAGGAAAACACCTTTATCCGACAAACTGCCATCCAAGAATCAAGCACGAAGGCAGGTTATTTGCTGGCATTCAAATTAGCAAAGACCAGCAAGCCTTTCTCCGAAGAGGAGTTTCTCAAAGAGTGCATGGTAGAGACAGCAGGTATCTTGTGTCCTGAGAGCAAGAACAAATTTGAAAAAATT